TTGTTTTTTCTTTAGTTAGTGTCCAGTTGTATCTGATTTTTTAGTCTTCTTTATAAAGTTTTCTATTTCTTTCTCTAGTTCTGTAGGAATGTGTTCAGGTGTTCTTGTTACTCCTCTTGGTTGATTTTGTAATTTTAATGAGAATGTGAATCTAAACTGTATTATGATTCTGATGATGTTAGTTGACATTTTGATTGTATTTATTTTTTAAGTTTTTAATATAATTATGGTTTGTTAAAATAAATAAAAAAAATCTTGTCCAACCGGACTAAGGCCTTGTTTGACGATCAGCGGATAGCGGATAGCGGATATTGGATTGTATCAGCGGATAGCGGATTATATTAGCTGATTTGACCAGCGGATTGGATTAGCGGTTTTTAAATAAGTGTTTGGTAAATAGCTGAAAGCTTATAGCTGTTTGACTTTGCAAAATGACCAATAAGGGCATTTTATTATTTAGGGTGTATTCTTTTAATAATAATATATTAAGAAATTTAATATTCTTTAGTTGGTAATTTATAAATATATTTTTTTTTTAAAATTTACTAACACTTGATGAAGAAATTATGAATTTTATATTTTTCTAGACAAATTAATCATATGGATGACATATTATTATTTATTAACACTATAACCAATGTAGATTGTAAAATAAATAAGACAAATTAAAAAGTTACAAGTAAATGATTTTTGTGAATCCTCTATCCTCAAAACGATGCTCTAATGAGCTTTTTCTAAATTAGAGTTTTGGGCCCAAAAAGCTTATTAAATAAGTTATTTACCAAACAAGCTCAATAGCAGATTTGACGGGTCAAACCTCTCAATTAAGTTCAATCTACTAATTTATTTTCAATCCGCTATCTACCAAACGGAGCTCAAAACAAAACAAACGTAGAAAAATCGTGGCCCATATATAGGCTTTTAGCACACCAAAAATTAAATTAATTAGGACCATAATTGCATGGATCCACCAAGTAACAATCCCCACAAATTAGATCGACACGTGTCGGTCGTACGATGCGCTCTCTACACGGCAACATGTGGGCCCTCTTTGTCGCCCCTGATCTCCACTAATTTTGCAATAAAAATTGACACCTAAACTGTGAATTAAAAAGCAAAAAAAGGAATAATTGCTGCATCGGGGTACAATCTTCAATGGGCAGTGTACAACCCTCGATGAAGCGTTGGCATTCTGTGTAGTTATCCGTTAGATAACGACGATAGATGACGGCGTCACGCCTCTATATATAAATATCAATACGAAACGCCACTTGTTTCTCTTTCCCTGTCTTTATTCTCTCTCTTTTTTCTTCTTTTGTTTCCGTTTAGACACTCAGCCACAGCAGATAAAATCACACGCTCGAGTGCACAAACATTCACATATGCAGTGATCTGTTATTTTTTATTTTTCCTTATATATATAACTTGGAATCAGATTCAGATTATCTTGTGGGCTGTTTGGCTGCTGTTTTTAGTTAATTTTGTGAAGTGGTTGAATTTTATAGCTGCAATGATTTAAGGTAAATATTGGGCCGAACTGAATTGCTGGATAGAAAAGCTACATTTGAGTTTCCATTTGAAAAAAAAAAGGTTGTCTCAATTTTACCAAACAAGGTAAGAAAACAAAAGAAAATTAATGCGATTTATTTATTTTACCCTTGAATCCCAACAGTTAATTTTCCATTCACTTGTTGGTAGAATGTTTTTCCCATTTTTAAGAGCTTTTTTTGTGTGTGTGTGTGTGTGTGTGTTAAGGGTTGTGAAGGAATCTTGAGAGAGAAGGTAATTAAAGGAGAAGGAGAAGGAGAGAGAAAATTGTGGCTGGCTTAGGTAAGTCGCTTTCATGTTTAAGAAGGATTTCAATTTTTTCATTCTTTTGTCTGAAATGAGCATTCACCAACAGCTTTCACAACTCGACAATTTCTGCACCATTTCTTTATTATTTAATATATTATTATTGTTATTTATGGATTTCAAATAACATTTTTGTCGATTAATTAAAGAATTTAGCATCACAATCTCCTCGCATTTGGAATTATTGGAAAGAATACAAAGGAATGATTGTGACTGAATGAGGAAAAAGGAATAAAAAATTAAATAAAATAGAGGGCGTGATGATTGTGAGTTGGTTTTGTGTTAAATGGTAATAAATACATTGTCAGAAAATACGGCACAAAATCTTCATTGTCTTTATTCTCTGCGTACATTAAAGCAGGCCACTTTGGATTTCTTTTAGTAATCAATTAGTAGAACTTTTCTTTTCTGTTTAACTTATACATTATTATTCTTTTACAAAGGATTGTTTGGTTGGAGGTTGAAAAAAAGGAGTGATGGTTTATTATTGTTTTTCTCTGGGCATATTTTTAAATTTATGAGCACTCAAGATTTGATTACCTCTTTCTATTTCTATTTGATTCTTTCTTTCGGTACCATTTACCAATGTGCTATGTATTCTTTGCTTTTTGAACAGATTGTACTGCGTACATGTAAAAGTTTTAATTACATGTAAAGATTAATTTGAATTTGAATATGATTACAAAAATCTCTCCTTGATTCTTATATTCTCTGTTTGACTTAAATTTTTTCCAAACCTCGTGATTTTGTTTCTACTCATTTTTTCAATTTCCGTGTTAGCACCAACTAAACAATAATATCATATGTTATGTATACAGGTGAAAAAGGAAAGAATAAAAAGAAGAAAAAGGAAAGGGGAGTTTAACTGCATAGTAGAAATAGAAGAAGGGTAAAAGGGTAAAAGGAGAGATGCTGACGTGTATAACGTGCTCGAAGCAAACAAGGCAAGACGAGACAGAGGAAGCCGCGCGTGGGACCCCCAACACTAAAGACGCCGTCAAAAGCCTCACTACACAGGTTCTAATTCTATTTAGTATTAATTAATTGTATCTATATATTCATGCATAATATTACAGTGTGTATGTAGCATTGTAGCACAGTACTTTTATTTCTGCTTTTTTTCCTTTTACCGTGGCTGCAAATAAAGTAGTATTATTTTTTGACCAAGTTTAGTCATTTCACTATTAAGCTTTCTTGCTGACAATCATAATACGCCAAGAATTACCAATCACAAAAGTATTAGTCCGTTTGATTTTGGGCAGTTGCGTAGTTTTTAATAAAAAAAAATAAAATTTTTGATCAACAACAAAATGCTGTAATTGTAAGAAATAATGAAATTTTAAAATCATGAACAAAAAGGAGGTCTTAACGGTGCACGTGTACATATTTTTGTACAGTAGTGTTGTGGTTTGAGCGATACTATTATTATTTATGAAAAGAAAAGAAAAGAAAAGAGAAAGCATGTTGCCAGTTATTTTTGGTGGAGTCACGATTAAGGTACAATTTGTATGTTGGGGTGAAGTATCTGTGTGTGTTGCTTTTGATGGGGCTGACTGTGGGACCCATACTAGTCTCCATTTTTATTTTTAATACTATTTCTTTTTCACTGTTTGGTTTGGGAATCGTTAAAAAAAAAAAAAAAATCACAAAACACTCTTGGCTCCTTTAAGTTGTACTATATTAATTCTGACTTTTCACTTTTATCCCACATTGCGAGCTCCGTAACCCGCGAGTTGACAGCGGTAAATATTTCGCCCTCTCGTTAGGATTTTTTGCCATATATTCCCCTGAATTTGTGGTGCTTGAGAGCATGTAGATCTAGACTTCTATCCATGTGTCGTATTACTTTTAAAATTATAAAGTATTTGATTAACTCAAATTACAATTATATTTAAAAGTTAATAGGTTTTCATATGTTATTGATTTTTTATATATAATATATCATATTTAATCATTTCTCGATGAGTTTCAATTTGATAACTATATTTTCTATATAGAATAAAAAAATGAATTTATAATTAGAACTAAGTTATATATTAATACTAATTAAAAGTAAAAAAATCAGTTAGCAATTAAATAAATTCGTGAATAAAGTCAATATATGGTATGAGTTAGGCCATCTCCAGCCCTTATCTCTACTCTAGCGCGGATTTTACTCTACTCTAGAGTAGAGTGAAACATTCGTCTCCAACCTTTATCTCTACATTTTACTTTACAACAAATGTATTATTTTTTTATTCATTTTTTACTAATACATTTACATTTAACATAAAAATACATTTATTAATACACATTTTGTAATGTGTGTGGTAAACTTATGATTTTAATGAAATGTACTTGTTTTATTGTGTTAAATTTTTATTCATATGGTGTCATTTTAATATTAAAAAATTACAAAATAAAATTATAATATCAATAAATAAAAAACACAAAGTTATTTAACATAAAAAATGCACTGCACAAAGTCATTTAGCATAAAAAAATACATATATTAATACAAATTGTACAAAAATTATCAACAATATTATAATAAAACACATTAAACAAAAAAAAAAAGAAAAAAAATGTAGCATTCGCTACAGTGTTGCGCTAGAAGTGGCGCAACACTGTTCATTTATCTATTCTACCGTAGGACTCTGGCGCAGTGTTGGAGGGAGATTTTGCGCTAATTTAGCGCAAATACTCTGAAGTAGCGACGGGTTGGAGAGATTCTTAGCAATTGTGTATTATACTAGTATATATATTTTTATATATACCAATTAATTAATGTTGCAATAATAATTTTTAATGTGCTTTCATGCCCAAGATGATAAGGCTTCTTAAGTGGGGGCACAATTTTGGGGGTGGCAAAGACAAGTACTTAAAAATTGAAAGGGGCATGGTCACTCCATGCCTTGGATCATGTGTCATAATCTTGGTCCCCAAAAATGCCTTACTCCTTAACTTTATTTTTTTTTCTCCCTTTTCCAGTTTTCCATATGATATGTTCATGATTTCATAAATAGATGCCTACATTTGCATCTCCATCATTCTTTATTTAATGACAAGGACATCTCAAAGAGTAGTAACAACTCTAATCTCATCATCCTAATTTTCCTAGTCCCATAATTAAATTCATTGAAGTGACATAACATTAAACAAATTTTAGCTGACTTTCTAACTTATGAATATTACAATATTTATTTATTGGCTCACGACTGATCTCTCTTCAAAGAGAGATCAGTATTTGTTAGATAATACAACACATCAAGGTTTAGAGATTTTAATTTTGTAATGTGTATGAAACTTTTTTCGTTTTGGTAATTGGATTAACCATGGACTATTTTTGTTGTTGTAATTTGTTTTACCTTTTTTGTAGTACTCTTCCAAAATTGGAATCTTGTGAATTTCTTTTTCCCTATGTGCACGAGGTGTGTGGATGACAATTACACTTCGGTCCCCACTGCAACAAGTTGCTATGAGAAATATTCTTTGGCTAATATTTTTGTCACTCAGATCTAAAATTAATCTAAAATATAGCTTACATAGTTCTTCCCTTCTTTTAATAAAGAATAAAGTGCGAGCTTCATGCATAGGGATTGCAGAAAAAAAAAAAAATAGTCAGTAAAAGAAAGTGCGTTACAATCTATGTGAACTTATCTTAGAACTCAAATTTTCACAAGATGGTCAACAATTTAACCTTAGTCCTTAGTATACATCTCTGTTTTTCTCACTAGAATATTTTATTTTTGTGGTACAAAAATCTATTAAAAAGAAAAAGAAAAAGAAAAAAGATGGTCTATATAATAGTTACAACTTACAAGTAACTCAAGACCTTTCTTCTTTACCAAATTGGTGAATATTTTTTTTTTTTTTAAAAGCTGATGTCTTTTGTAATTAAGTTGAACCCCATTGTCAATTTATAGAATTATCTTTTGCTAACATCCTTTTAAGTTTGAACTTAGGAGACAAATGAGAACTTTTCAGTAGCTAAAAAGTAATTAGTCCTCATTATTATCTTGGATCTTCATTGAGATGTGAGATAATCTATTTTGTGAAGGTTTTTGGGGGCCAAAGCCTTGTTGTGGGGGGTCTTGAGAAATGACAACACAAAAGACTCTTCTTATTACATGGCCCACATTGGAATTCCTGTCCTTTTTCTTACAAACACCTCACTAAAACTGGGAAACTGAAGGTCTTCAACATCTTTGCTGTCTTTAAAGTACTAATACAGCCATATTATTATATTAAATACAAAAGTATGACTTCGATTGAATACACAAGCTGCTCAAAACAGGGCTATTATTTAGATAAAAGAAATTAAATCTGATGACACAACCAATTAGCTTCAGACTGTTTTTTACATTATACATTAATGACAGTCCTGTCATTTGTACTGAAAATTTTCAGATCTAGATATATCTGATTTCTTATTTTGAAAACATAAAGTTAACAGGATGCATGCCTGAAGATTTATCTTTCTTATCAAGATAAACGGGATTCGTAATTCTGATGTTACAGCAGAATGTTTGTAAGTATGCCGTTCTCCTTAAGCATTGCTAAAGCACAGGCCATAATAGTGAACTGTAATGGATGTTAATGGCAAGAAATTCTCTTTGTCTGTCCTAATGTATTGATTTGATGTGTTTTTTTGTGATGAAATTTGCAGAGCGACAAACTTGCATTAAGCTAAACACAACCATATTTTCCATGATCTAATTTTTTATTTTTTATTTTATTTATTTATTTTTTTTTTGGATTTTGATTTGAAATTGGCAATATCGACATTTTTTTTGTTTTGATTTTGTTTTACTTGAATGAGCAGATCAAGGATATGGCATTGAAAGTGTCGGGAGCTCACAAAGGCAAGCCAGAAGGAATGTTTAAGAAAGCCCAAAGACCTTATCCTGACTTTGATTCGATATCAGAACGTGTTCCGTACACATATGTAAGCTCGAGTTCTACGCCTGCGTGGGATTTTCCTACCACTGGGCATCCTCGTGCTATTCGGCCCGACCCAAGATTTACGGCATTTGGTGGTCTGGAGTCCATCTCGGCCCAATCTGGTGAGGTTGTGCTGGAAGACGAAGATGGGCCCAAAGAGTGGATGGCCCAAGTTGAGCCCGGTGTTCAGATTACATTCGTCTCTCTACCTCGTGGAGGGAATGATCTTAAACGAATCCGTTTCAGGTGCTTATATCAAAACAACATCACTAATCTTTACATTATATTTGTATTTCCAAATGAAAAGGGAAATTTTCCAAAAAAAATAAATAAATAACTGCCGTTTTTTCACCTTTTTGGTCGTAATAGTCAAAAAAACATCATTTTGTGTCCGATTGCACCCAATGTATTATTTTTTTTTTGTTTGCATGGTAATTCGATTCATCGAACTTTGATGGCTTGACATGAAAATGTATGAAGCCGGGAGATGTTCAACAAATGGGAAGCTCAAAGATGGTGGGGCGAAAATTACGACCGAATCATGGAACTTTACAATGTCCAGAGATTCAATCAGCAAGCTCCCAACACTCCCGGAATATCCGAGGATGGCGTACGTCTCTTTCAAAATTAATTTTTTATAATTATTATTGTTCATGAAAACTATATATTCGACTTAATAACCGAATAAAAGTAATAATACAAATACAGAGAGACTCATCCTACTCGCGGCTGGGCTCGACAAGGGAAAGCCCCTGGATGAGTACACCAACGCCAGTCAACAATCACAAAGAGTGGGGCCCACGGTACAAGCCACCTGAAAATGTTGGCGGGCAGATGTCGTCTGTGGAAGCTTCTAGAACAACCACCTCATCCAGAGACGAGGCTTCGGTTTCCATAAGCAATGCAAGTGATGTAGAGTCCGAGTGGATTGAAGAAGATGAGCCGGGAGTTTATATTACCATCAGGCAGCTTGCAGATGGCACTAGGGAACTTCGCCGTGTCAGATTCAGGTAATAAC